CCAAAGGCGAGGCTCCCGCTGAAAAGAAAGACCAAGCCCAAGACCAGAAGAAGGGCGCCAAGGACCAGAGCAAACCCGCCGCAGCAGCAGCAGCACCAGCCGAGGCCACCGGCGAGAAGAAGCTCTCCAACGCAGAGCTGAAGAAGAAGGCCAAGGAGGAAAAGGCGGCGAGAAGAGCGGCCGCCAAAGTCTCACAGCCGCAGCCTCCCGCCGGCGCGCCGGGCCAGGCCGAGGGCGCAAAGGGCGGCAAGCCGAAGCCCAAGCAGCAGCAGCAGGACGGAGCGCAAGCAGGAGGGAACCAGCATGGAAAGGCGGCGGCCTCGCGATCAGCCGCGCCGGCGCCCGCGGTCAAGAAGGAGGCGAAGCCTTCGGTGCCCGAGTGCTTCAGCCATCTGTCCATGGCCAAGGGCGTCAACCTGACCCATGCGGACAAGGACGTCCACCCGGCGGTCCTGATGCTGGGCCAGCAGATGAGCACCATGGCCATCAGTGATAGCACCACGCGGCTAGAGGCGACTCTGCTAGCATTCAAAAAGGTACGCGCTGCACTGCATATCTACTCGGTTACTGAGGGCACAGCTAACAATGAAGCAAAAAGGTCATCGACTCATACACAACCCCCCACGGCACGACGCTCTCCCGACACTTCACCTCGCACGTCCTCAACCCGCAAATCGTCTACCTCACGGCATGCCGCCCCATGTGCTTCTCGATGGGCAACGCCATCCGCTGGCTCAAGCTGCAGATCAGCAAGATCGACATCGACATGGCCGACTCGGACGCTAAGAAGCTGCTGTGCGAGGCCATTGACAGCTTCATCCACGAGCGCATCACGCTCGCCGACGTCGTCATCGTCAGCACCGCCGCCGACATGATCTCCCCCGACGGCGGCGACGTCATCCTCACCTACGCCCACCACCACCTCGTCGAGCGCGCCCTGCTGCGCGCCGCCGCCGACGGCAAGCGCTTCAAGGTCATCCTCGTCGACGACCCCTTTGAGCGCGCCGGCCTCGCGCTCGCAAAGACGCTCGCCGCCGCCGGCGTCCCCGTCGCGTACGCGCCCGACCTCGGCGCCCTGCGCACCAACCTCCAGGAGGCCACCACGGTGCTCGTCGCCGCCGAGGGCATGTTCAGCAACGGCGCCATGTACGCCCGCGCCGGCACCTGCGACGTCGCCACCGCCGCCTTCGACCTCGGCATGCGCGTCACCGCGCTGTGCGAGACCATCAACTTCACCGAGCGCGTGTCCATCGACTCGCTCACCTACAACGAGATTGATCCCGAGCGCAACACGGACGAGGAGTTTCGGCTGCTGTTTGACACGACGAGGGACAAGTCCATTTCGGCCGTCGTCACGGAGCTGGGCATCTGCTCGGCCAAGTCGGTGCCTGCGATTCTGCGGAAGCTGGAGGAGCTGTAGTCACTTTTGTGTAGCTTGAAATATAAGAAACAAGTAAAATGTACCATCTAGCTCGTTCTTCCCAGTCAATGAG